CCTTAATTGTCACCCTTTCTGTGGGATTTTCCTGCCTCCCACCTGCCTGATAGGCAGCTCCTTTAAACTCCCTTAGTACCTTGTAGTTCTCTTGGGATATCAGAGCCTGTCTTATTTTATTTTGCTGATATTTTATTTTGCTTCTAACTAAAAGGAAACTATGTCTTATTCATCTCTGTATTCTATGCAGCCAGTGGTACAAAACTTTACATACAGTATGTACTTAATTAGAATACTTTAATATAGATCTTCAAGTTAAAGTAAGCTTATTTTTGAATCTTGACACTGCCTTTTACAAAGAGACAATTCACTTATCTCTGGACCTGCTTATTCATCTCATTAAAAAGTAGAATAACAACAGTGACTTCACAGGGTTGCTAGGAGCAGCAAATGATGTGTCATATGGAAATCCCTAGCCTAGAATATGGCTCACTGGGGAATTCAATAAGTATTTGTTACCTTTTCTTCTCAATATAATTTACTGAATTAAAAATGAATTGAAACTAAGAAAACTGAGTTTGAAAGATATTGAATAACCCACATTTTCCAAAATTTTATAATTCCATTGTTTAGAGCAAGTGTCTGTAGCCAAAACCTATAGACCAAATCTGGTCAAACACTTGTTTTTGCAAATTTAGTTTATTGAAACACACCGTGCATATTAATTTACATATTTGCTATGACTTCTTTCACATTACACCTATAAAGTTCAATAGCTGCAACAGAGATCATATGGCTATGGCTGGCAATGCCTAAAATACTTAATCCCTTAATCCCTAGCCTTTTGCAAGAAAAATTTGCCAATCCATGGTTTCTAGTTAAGTTGGGGCTCTTTTTCCAGAAAACTTCTATGAATATTCAAACATACTATCTCCCATAGGAGATGTGTCAAGTCTCTTGCACTTGTTGGCATATTATTTAGATCAGATTACCAGATGAGATTTGAAAGCGAAGAGTAAGAATTAAGGGAGAAACTCTGGCGGCGGCAATAAAAGAAGGGAAGTACTGGGCCAAAGACGATGACTCATAAAATAGAGAAATAAGCTTTGCTTTGTGAGTAGGAGAGTGAAGAGCTGATAATCCGCCATGAAAGCAATGGTTGGTGAACCCAAAGAAATGAAATCTGAGTAAGAGGAAGAGCATTGGCAATAGTAATACCAGTTACCCATCTTTACCAGAGTTCCCAAGAACACAGAGATTGAGACAAATGTTATATGCTAACTCCCCCCAAATTATTGAGACTGAAATCCCTGAAAACAGAAGTAAAATAAAGGGAGGAATGAGTCATGGAAAGGAGAGTCATTTCAATAGCATGTTCATAGCAAACACTGCTGAATGCTGAGTCCCATGGGGCATCTTGAGAGAACTGCCTGAAACTACTGCACTCTAGAGCTGTCAGGGAGCAAAAAGAAAGCCCAGCTCTGAGCTCCTGTTAGTCAAAGTGTTCACAGGATATTGAGTTCACCTCATCTCAGAATTGCAGCTTCTCACCTGGGGAAGCCAGAACCTGAGGCAGTGGCAGTGACACCCACAGCACAAGTCACGGCATGAGGGGTGAGCCCATAGGTGCCCGTGAGCCTCATCTGCAGCCTGCAACTGCCAGTCTTGCTGACCTGGCTGAGTAAACCAAGGCACCAATGTGGGCACCTCTCAAGGTCTGTTGACCCAGGGGCAACAGGGAAGCACTGACATGGGAAGTCCAAAGTGAGGCAAGCCACTGCCATGTCATGAAAGCCAGCACCACAAGGCAGTGAGAAACTTCCTCACAGTGTGGCTGTTTGGCCAAGTAATAGAGTACCAAAAAGACACAGCCCCCATCATGGAGAGCTGCCATGTGCATTAACCAAAATCCAAACATCCCTTCTGTGGCCTGCAGGAAAACATTTGACATTGGGCAATCTTCATAGAGAGTCATCAGCCACATGGACAAATACTCACAGAATCTGCAGAGGCTCTTAAACTAAGTCCAGCACACTACAGCTTATTAAGCACCTGCTATAGCTAGGCTATCTTCAGACATATATCTATTTTTAATTTTCAGGAGACCACCATGAGGGCGAAACACTAGTCTGCACTTTACATATGAGTAAACCCAGGCCCGGAGTGGTTATGTAACTTGTTCAGATATTTTCACATATTTGGGGCATATGGAAAAGAGACCAAATCCATCTTAGGTGGTCCCAAGGAACAGAACTGAGGCCAATGGGTAGAAATTACTAGAAACCAGTACTTAGAATAGGTACTTTCTAAGAGTCTGAGCCAGTTTTCCAACAATGCTACATACAATCATGAAAGAAAGTAAGGTGCCCACGGATGGCACTAATGAGTACATTGTGGATGTCTCTGGGAGAAAGGCAGGATTCTTTGGTCTGGTGAAGATTGAACTAGATGAAGCCAGAATTCTTCCAGGATCAATACCAACACACTTTTACTGATGTCATTTTAACATCAATGCAGGAAAGAAAAGGTACTTATAAAATAATGATAATATCCATCAGTATTCAGCTTTTAATATTACCAAACACTCAGCAAATAGCTATGTATATATATATAATTTAGTCTTCATAACAACTATGAGTTAATTAATATCATTATCATCAATTCACAAAAGAGAAAACTGAGACTGGCAGAGGTAAATCACAGAAACTTGCCCAATGTTCCCAGCTAGTAAATGTCAATAATTGACTTCCTGCTAAAGCCAATGCTTCGCTCTGCTGCTTCAAATATTCTGCATTTGCTTGTTGTTGTGAACTCAAAATGTTGGAGCCTGAACACCTCTGAAAGAAAAGTCTTGTGTAAAGACACTAGATGGGTCATTTTGGTAGATAAAGCTGCGTTTCAAACAGCTTTAACATTTTTTTCTGTCCACGTTCTCTGAAAATCTTTTCCCCATGAATCCTTTATTTTTCCATTGCATTAAAACACCTCCCAGACTGTTTGCTGCCATTCAAAATGTTTTGAAAAGCATTTTTGCAGATTTATTCCAATGAAAAACCAACAAAATCATCAAAAGACAGATTGTTCCCCCCCTCTCCCGTCCACCAGAGTAAAAATCACATTGAAGAACAACAAGGCAATTGAAATAAGAAAAAATAGCACTGGGAGTAAGACGTTAGTTCAACAAAGGGCTCATGACTGGTAATAATTTTAGGTGATTCAGGCATAGTCAAGTCTGCAGAAAATAAAAATAAAAAAGGAGAAAAACTTCAGCATTCTGCAGCCTCTGGCACCAAAAAGCCAGTGACAAGATAGCCTAAAACTGCATCCATGGAAAATCACAGCTGCAGCAAACCACAGGCTGACGGCTAAAAGCTACCGCTGCGTTGTTTCCAATCTCCGCCTGAGACAGCACACATTTATCAGTGGTCTGTAATGCCTCGCAGCAAAAAATCTTTAACTGCTTAAACTATATTTTAATTTTGAAAAGACACATCTTGCTGGAATTTATTTTTCTTATTTTTCCACCATAACAGAAATGTTTCGCCTTGAGTTATAATCTAACACTTTCCTCTCTTTGGGGTTGAGAGTGTAGGCTCTGGAATCAGACTGCTATGGTTTCTAATGTTGGTTCAAATACCTGATTTAGAGATGTGACCCTTAGACAAGTTACTTCACCATCCTAAATCTCCATTTTCTCATCTGTAAGTAGGGATGACAGTAGCTCATTCCTTATACAGCTGTTACTTGGAGTAAATGAAATGATGTATGCTAAGTGTTTGAAACAGATCCCAGCACATAGTAAATTTTCTTTAAAAAATTAGCAGTGACTATCATTTTTCATCCCTTTCTGTCCGTGTGAAAGAAAGAGGTTATTTTTCTAAGGAAGTCAAAATCTGACGATAGACCACGTATCAAACTGTTGAGGGCCAAACTTGTAAATAAAGTTATATAAGTTTCAGAAAAAGTTAGTTTTCCACCCCACCTTCCTGTGCCCATCATCTCTTCCAACTTGTCCTTTTAAGATACTCAAAATTTCCACGTGCCTCAGATTCCAGTCCAAGATACATGCCCTCTGGGTGGGATACTCCCATGAATGTTTTCTACAGAGATAGCTCAACTTCTACTTCTTGCTCTGCCTTCCAGGATAAAGCACCCTTCCTTGACCTGCAACTGTAATTCCTCTTTCTATACAAGGTTCTCATTCTCAAGATAATACCTAGCTAACAGGAATATGAGAAGATTCAATGTGATCAATGAGATGATACATGTAAATTTCTTAGAGTAGTTGCTGGCACATAGTAAGACTAAGTGTCAGTTATTAATGTCTAATATTAATACTCCTCCTTTCCCGTTGACAAAAACAAAACTCCTTTATCTGTGTGGCCTCATGGCCCTTCTACTTACTCTCTGGTATATCAGTAGGTTATCCTGCTCATGCAGCACATGACTTTTTTTTTTTTTTTTTTTTGAGATGGAGTCTTGCTCTGTCGCCCAGGCTGGAGTACAGTGGCACGATCTCGGCTCACTGCAAGCTCTGCCTCCCAGGTTCATGCCATTCTCCTGCCTCAGCCTCCCGAGTAGCTGGGACTACAGGCACCCACCACCACATCCCGCTAATTTTTTGTATTTTTTAGTAGAGACAAGGTTTCACCGTGTTAGCCAGGATGGTCTGGATCTCCTGACCTCGTGATCCACCTGCCTTGGCCTCCCAAAGTGCTGGGATTACAGGCGTGAGCCACCGCGCCTGGCCAGTATGTGACATTTTAAACAACTCCAATTCTTGGACCACAAAAGGATGAATGACTAATGGTGAGCACTGGGAATCTGACCATTACAGCCTCCTCTTGAAGTCAGGTGTGACTCTTGCCCCAATTTATTCGATATCTTGTCTGTATCTGTATATCCCCCATCACAGCTCTTCTTATACCTAATTGCTTTTGTACGTTCCATGTCTCTCTCTCTCCCAATGGATTATATGCTTCTTAAGGGAAAAACACTAATCTTATTTATCTCCTTTTTTCCAGAACCTCAAAAAGTAGGTATAATATGCTTATTTTTAGATAGAAGAACTCCTTGGGACCAAGTTTAAATCCTGGTACAAAGACAGTTATGTCTGGAGTCTATAATGGAACCAAGTCATACCCCTTACAAGTTCCAAATTCAGGTATGTTATATATATGGGCACAATTTAAGCAGTTGAACCTGCTTTGCTTTAAAACCTGACACGCTACTGGTATACTACTTTGCTTCTAACCAAATAACTACTGCAGTTCTATCTTAATGGGGCCATTTAACAGAAAATGCAGAGACTATCATAGAAGTCTGTGATTGCCTGTGGCATTTGCCTTTCTCACCCTTGGCTAGGCCTCTAGTCAAGCTGTTCACCATGATGCAGGATCTACTGGCAGCCCTTGAGCCTGGTTGCTTAGTATATTAAGCAATATACTAATGATTATATATGACATTATCTATACTTTGTTTCTGGCATAAAAACTTTTGCTTTTTGATTTTTAATAGAAACCAGACATCACGTCATTGATGTGTCATCAAAAGCAGTGCCAGACTTCCTGTTCTCCCTGGGAAGGATTCAATGGCTAGTGAAAATACATAGAGGAGGTCACCCTGGGGATTCAGCCCAAATATATACATGCCAAGAAAATGCCAAATCCAGGGCCTCAAGATGTGAAATCAGTTTTGCGCAGATGCAACGGGGCAGCTTCTGAACTGAACTGCCAGCAAGCCTTAGATTTTCATCATTGATTCATTCTTTAGTCAAATAGGGATGTTCCAATATTTTATCAATGTCTGTGCTCTAAGCAAGACTCTCAGAGGTGAAATATGTGTACATTTACCCACACACATAGATATGGTACCTTCAAAGAACAAATATATAAATGGTTCAATCTTCCAGAAAAGATTAAAATTGTATAAATAATAGAAGTAACAGATGTGTCCTGACATACTGGCGGAGTAAATAAATAGTAGAAAACTGTGTGTGCATTATAGTCTGAGGAAAAATAACTTTATGAAATTCTGGTACAAATCATGTGTATAATTTCTCCTTTTTGTAATATTATGAAATATTAATATTATTGACTATTGTTAATCAAGTTGTACCAAAGCGAGTTACACATTTTTAAGGAGGTTATCTGCATTTTTGCACTGAGGAAAAAATATATAACATTTGAAAACTGCATAACTTAAATGGTCTTGCATGCTCACCCTATCAAATGCATTTGGGAAGAGGTTCATTCCTTTGTTAGGGTCTAACATAATTGCCTATGGGATGTCCATTGTACGGTAGCCTTGAGGAGCCACAAATCCCATACTTCAAAATATTATAAAGAAGCTGGTGCTAGGAAGGAGGTCAGAAGCCTGCAGAAACTCCAGTATAAAGCTCAGAAAAAAATATCTGTGTTTGTTCACCCTCAGGGCATTCCTACTCTGGGACAAGGTGCACTTGGAGAGAGTAAAGTCTCCCACCTTCCAAAGGCTACAAGTAATAAGGATAGTATCTAATCATGTTTGATTGTTGTATTTTTGGGGGCAATAATGAGGGTGTGAAACCCTTTGTTTAATTTTTGTGACCTGAATTTTTATTGTCATTGTAAATAAAATAATTAAAGTTCTATTTAACACAGAAAAGAAGTCACCCAGATTGGGGACAGATTCTAAAAAAGAATGGAATGAAGACACTTTCAGGTTAAAAGGAACAGCATTTGAACATGCAGAAAGCGGTAGTAATACTACTGCTAATAATAATGTGCATTTACTATGTGATTACGCTAAGTATCATGCTTAATAATTTACATGCATTCCCTCAAGGTATGTCCCAAAAGTCTTTCAGTTAGATGTTCCATCAACATTTTGCAAATGATGCAATGAATTGCAAACTCTCAATGAAGCAATATAGCATAGTTGAGGAGCTACAAGTAGTCTGTTAGTTCTGGAGTACAAGCTCCTCTAGGAAAGCAGGAAAAGTAGACTTGTATTTTGTATTCAAGTCTAATATTAATAGTACAATTAGCGTGAACAGTTATGGGACAGAAAAGCTTCTCAATGTTTTTTTCTCCTCCATTTAATACTAAGATGTTTCTCAAGGCGAGACTATTTTGAATGACTATACAGCTACCTACTGGATTTCCTTTGTCCTTTTAGTTCTCCAGACTTTAATCCAGGTTGCAGTCCTCTGAAATTAAAGAGTAAATGGAAAAGATATGAAACATCTAGGGAGTTTTTCACCATCTAAGTATATAAAGTTCTGTAATGTCAGTTACTAAGATGGCTTAGTTCTTTTGGGCTACTATAACAAAATACCAGAAACTGAGTAGCTATAAACGGCAGTCATTTATTTCTCACAGTCTTGACAGCTGCAAGCCTGAGTTCAAATTGCCTGCAGATTTTTTGTTTGTTGAGGGCCTGCTCACTTTCTGATTCATAAATGGCCCCTCATATGATATTTCTTCACATGGTAGAAGAGACAAGGCAGCTCTCTGGGGCCTCTTTTATGAAGACTTTGCCCTAATGATCTACTCACCTCCCAAAGTCCTCACCTCCTAAAATGATCACACTGGTGATTAAGTTACTTATGAAGTTTGAGGGGACACAAACATCAGACCATAGCATAGGGTTTGCCATGGTACCTATATAGATCCCTCATGATGGAATTAGGCCCCTTATATAAGGGGTTGAGGGCCTGGGTCTGTCTAGGCCCTCCTCTGATGCTTAACCTGCCAGTGCCTTCATCTTGGACTTCTTAGCCTCCAGAACTATAAGACATAAATTTCCATTGTGTACAAATTACCCAGTCTTGAGTATTTTCTTACAGTAGCACTAACAGATAAGAACAAATGTCAAGCTGCCTTGTGAACTTTCTGTGCTGCCAAAAATTAAAACAAAAATGAAGATGTCTCTTCCCTTACAAATTTGCAATGAATAGATTTCTGAGTTTAAACCAGAGTTCCAGAAGATTTTATTACCTTCAATGTAAGTGCAAAGGAGATGTTTATATTTCAAAATGTATGTAACTTTATTATTAGAGTCCATCTAACCTTCAATTTAAAGTAATTAATCTGCAATGTAATGACCTGCTAAAAAGCAACTATCAAGAGAAGAATCTAACAGAATTCCATAAATGATCAACTAACATGGATTAATATCAATATTTGGCAGTATCTTTGTGGAAAAGTGTTTTAAAGATCAAATATGTTTTACATATAATATTACAGATAAGCATTAACAGAAGCAAATTTGCAGTTGATTTTGTTAAGAGAGAACACCACCTCTGAATTTCAATTAAGAAAAACATTATCCTCCCCAAAAAATTCAGTTTTCTCATTAGTGGATCTGTATCACAAACAACATATTATTATACATAATGTGACTTAGAGTATTACATATAACATTATATTGCTATTACTTTTAAAAAAGTAATTTGAAATTTGGAAATTTGGCTTCTTTCTTGTTATAAGTATGAAATTCCCATTTTTGCCTCTTGACTGTTTGCTGCAACAAAGTCTAAAATATTTACTATATGTTCCTTTACAGAAAAAGTTTACCAATCCCAGGTCAAGAAAAACTATGCTGCAGTAACAATGAACCCTGAAATGTCAGTGGTTTAATACAAGAGGGGTTTATTTACTGTTCATGACTCAGCCTAATGTGGGTCCTGCAATTCTTCATGCCCTCCTCCAGTGGTGACACAGGGATCCAGGCATCTTTCATCTTGCAATTCTGTCATTTTGGAGTTCTTTATTTCCACACTTTTATTTGAAAGGGAGAGAATAAGAAAAATTCACAACTGTGTATCTAGGTTGGAATGGAAGTGATGTATCACTTATGATCATATTTGAGAGTCATCAGAATAGGATAATATTTAATGACCTGGTAATGAATGAGATCATATACAAAGAAAATAGACTGAGAAGAGAAAAATCACTCAAGGAACATACCCCAACACACCTTGATATATAGCTGCACAGAAGCAAAGAGGAAAATAAATAGAGAAAGCTGTTGAGAATGACAGTCAGAAGAGAAGGAAAACCAGACTTTGATATCACAAAAGTCCAACAAAGTCTCAAAATGAAAAGAGAGAGTTATAGTCTGTAATATCAATTACTTAGTGTTAAGTGTGACTAAGACAAGTCAAAATTCCCATGAACTGAATTTCCCACACCTGTATAATAATATATTGATAATATCTACTTCAAAAGATCTAATATGAAGATGAAAGGCAACTATATATTTGAAAGTACTATAATTCCTACACAAATTATGATGATAATTATCATTGCAGTCGCATGACAGAGGCACCTCTACTCTGTGCCAAACTTCCTTGAAGAGTTAGAATTCTCCCATAACCTACCTTAACCATTGCCTCCAACTTAACATATCAGATTTTACCAAACTAGTTTGGGTGTGGAAAACCACAGTCTAATTGAAATGCAGTGATTCCCAGCCTGAAGCATTTCAGAGGCAGACCTACCTGAGTATATGAATCTCTCTTTCAGTAGAATGGGAGTGGTGTGTTAAATCTTTACAATTTTTCTGGGACAAAGAACCAACTCAAACTGGCAGCTACTGAGCCACCACAAGGCCATAGGCAAACACAGTAAGCTATAGATTGAAATTCTAGTAAGTAGTGCCTCAAACTGCAGGAAATCATAAAAGCAACTGAATGAAAGCTGTGTCTGAAGCTCTCTGGCCATTAGGCATGACCAACAGTGAAGGTAAAAATAAACAAATATAAAAATATGTCTCTACTTAACTCTAAACTTTCACTTCACAAATTTTTATTCAAAGACATTTGCAAAAGTACAGAGGTTGGTTATGTTTTTCTTTCTTTCTTCTTTTTTATGATACATTGAAATTATCCAATTGAAACCATATGTTGGCTCAATAATTCTCAATTGCAAAATGCTCACTATTTCAAGAGCCAATAAAAAGGGGAGGGACTAATGTAGCAAGATAAATACTCTTGGATATGTGGAACCCTGTGTTTCCAATTTATCGGAACAGAGGAAAAGTTGCCTTTTTGATTAATTATGTACAGAGCAGAAATGCAATGCTACTGAGGTAATGATGCACTGATGTATTGGAAAACACATATAATTTGGAGAGAAACAAACCTAGGTTCAAAACCAGCTTTTCTACATTTTCACTCTGTGTTCTTTTAAAGCATTTGTAATCTCACTGAGGCTCAGTTTCATTTCTTGTAATATGAAGCTAATAATGCCTACCTTGCAAAACTGTCATGTGGAACAAATAAGCTTAAGAAGATAAAGAATATATATGTCTGTCATATAGTTGGGCCTTGACAATAAATAAAATGGATGATAACCTGATATGGTTTGGTTGTGTTCCCATCCAAATCTCATCTTAAATTGTAGTTCCCATAATCCCCACATGTTGTGGGAAGGACTTGGTGGGAGGTAATTGAATAATGGGGGAAGTTACCTCCATGCTATTCTCATGATACTGAGTGAGTACTCACAAAATCTGAGGGCTTCATAAGGGGCATTTCCCCCTTTGCTCAGCTCTTCTGCTTCCTGCTGCCATTTGAAGAAGGATGTGGTTGCTTCCCCTTCCACCATGATTGTAAGTTTCCTGAGGCCTCCCCAGCCCTACAGAACTGTGAGTCAATTAAGCCTCATTCCCTTACAAATTACCCAGTCTCTGGTATTTCTTCATAGCATTTCCACATTAAGGAACCAGAGAACAAAAGAAGTTAAATAACTTGGCTGAGGTCTTGTAAATATAAAGCCAGATTTTAAAAACATACTGGAGTCTATAGTTTGTACAACTTTCTGCCTCTGGTTTACTGAAAAATACAATATCCATGAGAAATTAGGCATCATACTTTTACCAAAATAATATTACTGAGAGGAAAAATTGGAAATTGAAGAACATGAAAACCACTTCTTAATTTGTATCCCTATTTGAATACAGCTGTAGAGTTCAAAAAAGGTGGTTATATGCCTTGTCTCATTTCATCTTTAAAACTCAAGCATGGCATTATTTTAATTTCCAGTTAAAATCAATGCTCAGAATAATGCCTGACACATAACAGGTGTTCAATAAATCCTTGCTGAAGTAATGAACATATGTGCAAATGAATGAATTTATTGCCTAGAGCCCTTAGAGCCCTTGCTGAGAAAGATGCACAGCTAAGATAGAAAGCATGTTGTGGCCGGGCACAGTGGCTTATGCCTGTAATCCCGCGCTTTGGAAGGCCAAGGCGGGTAGATCATGAGGTCAGGAGTTCAAGACCAGCCTGGCCAACATGGTGAAACCCCATTTCTACTAAGAAAAAAAAAAAAGTGGCTGGGTGTGTTGGTGCACACCTGTAGTCCCAGCTACTTCGGAGGCTGAGGTGGGAGAATCGCTTAAACCTGGGACGCAGAGGTTGCAGTGAGCCTAATGGCACCACTGCACTCCAGCCTGGGTGACAAAAGGAGATCCTGTCTCAAAAAATAAAAAGAGAAAGCATGTTGTGATTGATTTGTAATCTATGCCATGGCTGTGGTGTGGTCTATGTCACATAATTGCCTTACTTGCACTAGGACATAAGCCTGGAGGGTAAGATTGATTTAGCCTTAAATCTCGTAGCTTCATACTGTAGACAATATAAGGGAGAAAATGCAGTAATAAAATGGGAAAATTGTGTGAATTCATTGGTTTCTGAGAGTCAGATTTTAAAATAAAGACACAAGAGAAAAATTGAGATTAAAATAGGCAAGCACTGGCTTGCATAAAAATTAGATGTGATGGTAACTTACTCATAGTCTCAATCTGAATATTTCAATCAGAGAGGAGGTAGAAGATTGAAGGCTGGTGCACAAAGAACTTAGAAAAACTGTGAGTCAGAATGGCTGTTCTTAAAAGTGCAAGCAAAGCACAGTTCAAGATTGTGCCATGGTTAAGGGTGTGGCCTCTTCAATCCTCTTGTGGCAGGCAAATGCCTATGTGGAGATGATGTCTCAGCTTAATTAATGTTGGTACAGTTACATATTTAAAATATTTTTAGTTAACTCATCTTGCATTTGGGGTGTGCTAACTAAAGTAAATAAGTATGAAGACTTCTCAGAGTAAATACACGAATAATTTGACATTCATATATACAGCCTTGTATAAAGACAAGGAAAAATAAACTCTACCTTTTGATCATGATAATTCAAGATACAGCCAGTCTTTCCATTTTGTCTCTCTGCTTTCACCATAGCAGGCCCCAATGGCATTCAGACTCTAAATTTTGGGGGATCTACTCTGAAGGGTTCTATGATCAGTCACAGCCTCAGCATCCCTAGGTTCAAATTTTCAAGGGAGAGCAATTCGTAGGCCAGGTGTTTGCTCTTGGCTCATTCCTCTTTTGCCAGTGGGGCAGTGGACAGGACAGGTTAAACTAAAAGGAAAAGTTGACTGAAATGTCCAGCATGAATATGTCATAGCAAGAAGAAGACGTAATACAATCTCACATCTTTAGAGGGTAGCACCAATACCAATAGATACATGAAGCCAGGATATAAAGCTCAGCGCAGAATAAGCAAATGATTTCCAATAACTGAGTGAACTGTTTTTTTCTCCATCATTGGAGGAGCTCAAACAGACCTCAGTGACCACTTGCTAGTGATGTGATTGAGAATATGCCTGTATTGCTGGGTGAGAATATGCCTGTATCGCTGGGAGTTAGGTTAGACAATATCTAAGAAACCTCCTTGCCAATAGACTCCATGATTCATTGACTCTACAGCAAAACATAAGAAAAATCAAGTTGGTTAGTATTATATCACATCTAAAATCCAAGTATTTCACTATGTTTTTCATAGGGAAGCAAGTCACTCCATGCCTCACAATGTATCTTCCAATGCAATCTGTGCTGTGTATATCCAGAATAGATACTATATACGAGATTCCCCAGAAAAAAAAAAAAAAAGCAGACAAATGATAACTGAGCATTAATTTGCAGTCACATCCCTGGGCTCTATCAATGGATGGTGACTTGGCTGGGAGAAAGGAAAGAGTATTATCGTATGTGATTCTCAATACAAAGATGTGCATTGAAAAGCAGCTGACACTTCACTTCTTTAACACTGACTCAAAGAAGTGAAAGAGGTGCAGAACCCTCAGGTCTTTAACAAACATCAGCTTCTTGTATCATATCTGGGCCTGGCCTCCCAGAAATGGATGTGGTGTGGTTGGATAGGGATGTAAGTATGAATAACAGTATGGATAACATTGTTGGACACCAGGGGTATTAGAACTTTCTGAACTTTTTCATGCATTCTTAGGAAACTAAGTTCCCATTACAAGATTTTCTGAAAAAAAATATGTTTTTCTAAAACATAATTTTGGTGTATTATGACATTTCAAAAACAGAACACATTAAAGCAGCTTTTTTTTTCATTCTACAAATGTATATTGAACATCTATTCTCAATCATACAATGAAGTTTCCTTAGAGAGAAAACAGAAAATTTAGAACAAAGATAATGTCAGAGTGGTTACAGAGCTCCAACCTAACTTTGAGAAACTTTAGATTCCTTCATTCCATCAGGCCTTAGGGAAAGGTTAGCACAGTGGTAAAGAGCTTGGGTGCTTATATTAGGCACAATTGAATTAAAAGAGCTCCTCAATTTACCACTTGCATGACCTTAGGCAAGTTTATTTACCTCTATGAGGCTCAATTACTTCATCTGCAAAATAGGAATAAAAAATGATAATTCTGATTTCCTATGACTGTCACAAGAATTAAAGTATGAAAAGCACTCGCCCAATGCAAAATGTTCAATGTTGCATTTCTTTGGCTCTAAGACACACCTTGTATGACATTTTAATACTTCTGTACGTAGGATGTGTTTTATAATAATAACAACTTATACTCTTTGTTGATCATGTAACAGTTGTGAGATGGATGTCATTTTCTGTGCTTGTGGATGGTTATATTATTTTCATTTAAATTGGTACGTGTACATAGTTGTTTCTATATCGGCTATAATTTAAGTGTATTAAAGAAGGTTACACTATGATTCCACATTAAAATAAAAGTTATTGTATATTCTAGATGTCACAGAAAAAGAGTACTGAAGCATTTAATATTAGGCACACAAATATCATCGTTGCAAAAATCACCAAAATTCCATATTTTCTGGCAAAGCAACAATCAAGTGCTTAACAGGACCTAAGAAAGAAAGGTACCCACAAGTAAATGATGCTATTACCTTTTGTAACCTAAATAGTTACAAAAATTACCTATTACGCACCTAGCTTTGGCACTAAAGAGAGCAGTAACTAGTACTTGGAAGCAGTAAAGCAATGAGAGGCTAATGCTAATGTGACCAATTCATATTTTACAGAGAACAACTGATAAAGTATTAAATAGAAATTTGTGAAAAATCTACATCTGACTTTGAGCTTAAATTCCAAAGATATATAATCAATGAAGAAAAAAAGAAAAAGAAACAAAGGAAGAAAGAAAGGGAGGGAGGAAGGAAGAGAAGGAGACAAGGAGAGAGAGGGAGAGAAAAGAGAGGAAAGGAGAAAAAGAGGAAGAAAAAAAGGGAGAGAGGGAGAAAAAAAAGAGGAAGGGAGGAAGAGAAGAAGGAAGAAAGGAAGGAAAGGAGGAAAGGAGGGCAGGAGGAAGAGAGAGGAAGGAAAAGTACCATCATTAAAACTTGTAGAATAAGTATAATCGGCTTAGAAGAAAATCCTAGAGACAATAGTGGAACATTGTGTTATGAATTTTTTATCATTTGTGGGTATTAATGATGAGTTCAGAAGTGATTTCGAAGTGGTAGCGTATGAATGGAAAATTTTAGGAAGTGTACAACAAAATTAACTTATTTTATATTTTTCTCGCAATACATTCCCCCAAAATGACAAATGATAAAAACCTGAATTTAAGTCTAAAAGATTTTTTTAATAAGAATAAAGATTTGAGTAAGATAACCTTCTGTTCTAATCTAATAACTTTTATGTTGTTATGACCAACAAAATAATGGTGCATCTTAAAATTGATAAGATAAAATATCTAAGCGTTACCTATTGCAATATAGCTATATCTCCATAGTATTAGCAAGATTTCTCTCAAAAAATATTTATTGATGAAAAATAGAGGCACTTTTCACTTTCAAAGTTGCACTATAGCTGCCAGGGTCTCATTTACAGTATGTCCAACAATAACCAAGCTATTAGACTAAAAAATTTAGCCATTTACCTACTTTCTTCATCTCAAGTACAGCTGTATAATATCCTGGAAACTTTCTCCTGGGTAGCTTTTGGTGACACTTTTGCGAGGTTCAGACACACAGAGTTAACACGTCAGCTAACCATTATGATTGACTCAATCT